TCAGCTCCCCAGCCATGATGTAAGGGCCTAAGCGGTACATGAAGTTGTTGAAAAATTGCCAGTAGATCTGTAGCTGGTTTGCAGAATTGGCTCATGTTCTTGCATTTGGCTGCCTTGCAGGTTTGCCAGCAACTCGACTGAACTAGTTCTGTGCCAGGCTTTCTTTTTTCTAGTGATGTGAAGAGGAACAAAGAAGGCACTCCCATTTATGTCATGCTTGCGCCTGGAGACCGCGCGTGTGTCTCATAATATGGCAAGTTTCCAAATTTAGGGTCCCAGTTTTGGTACACCGTATATGCCTCATGATCTCTCATTCCATGCCTGGGCCTCATGCAGTGACATCAGGACTTATTCGCCTGAGCCGAGTCCAGAAATCCCTGCTGTCCATTGTGACACGCTTTACTTCGCTTCGGGGCTGCAGTGATTACACGGATTAAGAGTGATTCACCTCCCAAGAACTCTTTGGAGGTTGTTTAGGCAGGCAACAAAGAAATCTCAGAAATCTGAGGTGTGCCGGGCTTGGTCGATAATGCATGACGGGATGCGTGCATGTATGATGAAGACAGTGGAATTCCAGCTAAGGGTGTATTTCTGGATGGCGATGCAGATGATGAAAGGCATCGTTGTCATCCTTGCCATCAATCATTATTTGTCGAACCTTGGCCATGCTGCGCTTCTTTTGACTGGACCGCAGCCTGGGGTTAAGAACATGGTTTGGTTCTAGATTTTGCGGCATATAGCAGAATATTCAGTACTCCGGCAGGTGCCTCCTGGCGTGGAGTTGGCAGTAATCAGCAACATGCGTGCCGAAATCTGAGGATCGGTTGGTTGGTGTTGGGCTGCACGGCTTCATTCATGCGCTTTGCGTTCAGGGCATTTTTCGCTTCTGCTACCTGCCATAGCAGGGATTCCTTTGGCCCTTCAATGCAAACTTGACGTGTATTAATCTTGTGCTTGAAGCTGTTGAACTGCAGGCAAGTATCTTTGGGGTCCATACACCTGGGTCGATGCCTCCGACGTTCGCGACAAGAGCTTTTCGGCGCAGTTGCCTGTCCAGATATATGTTTTGAGCAACGGAACTCGCTTTGAGCTTGTGGGAATGACTAATCAAATAGGTGCACAAGGCGGTACTACAAGTTTGCTGGGACAGTCAGATCAGAATTCAGATGGCCAAGAAGGTCAGACTGCTCTAGCGTGAGTATTGGTCAGCCTTAATACTCCCAGCTGCGAGGTATGTCACATCCTTTCATTGGTCCCTGGCACAATTTTTGCCATCGACGACGGACCGACGTTTTGCGAGTTGTGAGCCCGAGCCTCCCCTTCACAGGGCAAACATCACAAGCCCGTCTTTGGTTTCGTATACATGGGTTTATAGGGTTGTCAAAGCTACGGCCATGTATGGTCCTTTTTATCTCCTGTTAATGCAGCTATATTGGCCATGTGGGGGCGTGATTTGTGTTTGCGCTGGAGGACATCGCACCTACCAACGGCCTTGAGCGCCTCTACGCCGTCCTTGCGCCTTGGCTGGCAGGTGGGGCTTCAACATTTTCGTGCCGCCTCTGCTTGTCACCTCGTCAATTCAGACCTGCTTTACAAAGACTTCCAAGACCCTGGCTGTGAGTAACAAACGCCAATAGCGTGGTGCAGAAAGGATTCCGCTGAAGTGTCTCCAACTAGTGACGTGTCTTTCTGCTGTGGACACGTGCAACTCCGAGGCCGTCCTTCTGGCGTGCCTTGGCTGCCCAGTTTTGCAGCATCTTACTCACTCGGATTCTTTGTTAAGCATCCAGATAGTGCGAAGATTCAGCAACGGTTGGCATCTATCCAAGGTTCGGAGTGTCGCGGCCTCATTCAACCATGTCCGAACCCAGCTGTGTGAGATGTCCATTTTGATCATGTGCGAGCTTAGCTTGGGACTTCATTCGTTCAGCAAGCTCGTTTGATTTGCCAAGGATTTCTTCCTTCATCACAGGAGTAACCAACACAGCACTCTGCCTGCAAAGTATTTTTGATGGTTCTGCATGAGATTGCTTGTGCGTTCCTGTTGCTGTAAGCCGCCGAGGTGAATGCCTTGCGCGCTGTACGTGTCAGCACCGTGACCCAGGCTCGTCTTTCGCTCTACTTGCCATGAAAGTCCTATCCAAACAGTCCGGGGCTTCATGCGATCATCATTGTCGCATCTCCTGATTTTGACAAGCACCTTTAGTGCCAATGCCATCTAGTGCGGGCCGCGATTGCAGGAAGCAAAGCTCCGGCAGTTCTTCAGCGACAGCTGCTTGCCTGTTACTTACAAACAAGGCCAGTGAAGCCTTTGTCATGCTTTTGTAGGGGCGCAGTCCTAGAGCATCGTCAAGCGATGAGAGATGCGCACAAGATTGTTCTGCTTGGATGTTGTTGGGCAAGTTTGCCTCGGACTATGCGCTTGCAAGGGTTTGGGCGAGGCAAACTTGCTGGGACATGGTGTGCAGTGCGTTGGATGTGGTGGGATCTGGCCACAACTGTTGCTGCAACGATCTTCAACACGATTGGCCCATGACAGCAGTGACCAGTGCTTGAGGACGTTTGCCCGCAACGCTCCTCAAGAACTGCCTTGCAGCATTTCGCGAGAAAGCTGACAAGACGCAGTACATCAGTGAAGAGGAGACTGTGTCAGGGTGGGGGCTAGCCGGAATGCAAGCATGGAGCAATGTAGCGGAGTTAGAGTGCTGATAGCAATAGCGTTGCAACCTTGACTGCCCTGCTTGGGGCAGCTCTTGCCACCTGCGGTCACCAGGGCTGAAGCCACATCCTGACTGCAGAGTGGAGGAATGTGGAGGAGAATCGCGTTACAGGTTTAGGTAGTTGCAGTTGCTGCTGGTGCTGTTGGTGCTGGTGCTGGTGCTGCTCCCCCTCCAGCGGCTGCTGGCGGTCAGGCAGCAGTCTCTTTTGGATGACCCTCTGAAAATCCAAAACTTGCCCAACGGCCCAGCTCGCCCAGTCACCAGCACCGCCCCTTTCTCGGAACTAGTACCGCACCGTGCCGTGGAGTGTATATTGCTCTTCTGATGCCCTGCCAGAGATACTCGTAGCTTCGACGCGGCAGGACGTGGCCATTCTGCAGACTTCTCCAGAAAGGTGGCGAGGTTCAATTCAGATGTAGATGCCGATGCAATTAGCTGAAGGTTGTCCACACGCTTGCACTTGCTTTGGCTAGCCACTGGTGGGGTCTGGCAGAGCCTTGCTTGGGAAGCGGTCGGTATCGTGATTCAGCTCAGGCTGAAGGCTCAGCTGCACGAGGACAGTTTGCAGAAGCTTCTTCACAGATTGAAAAGCTGACATGCCAGCTACAGAGAGGTTTGCATAAAGTTGCCTTTCTGGTTGGCTGCGTTTCGGAAGGAGATGTTCAAAAGCGTTCTGCTCGGCCGGCGCTGGATGCAGTATGCGCTGCGCTTTGACAACACGGGCTTGATAACAAACCTTTGTCTTCCGGCTGCAACGTGCGCAAATTCGCTGAGAGAGGCACGCTAGAATTGCAACACTTCTGCGCAAAGGGCAGTTTTGCATGATACAACCCATCGCATAGGCTTGCCAGCATTGGATGTTTGATAGAGTAACTCCTTGCTGGGTGGCTCAGAAGAGCAGAGAGCTTTGCCAACCTCCAGGTCATTTGGCTTTGTCTGAGAAGGCCACGCGCAGATCCGAGGATGTATTCTTGCCTGGCACTGACACTTATCCGAATGGAAATCTGATCACGTAGCCCTCGAATCGACACATTACCTATTTATCGTACAGGAAGGAGCTTGCGCCCTCGCATGTCCCAAGCCTGATGGAAGGGGTGCGACTACGGCCCAACTTAGGACTGTGCTGGTGCCATCATCCTGAATCACGGCAGCATGACCTACTCGACAGGCGAACTGGTGATGCACTTTGGTAGCAAGCCATTGTTGAGATTGTCCTCACAGGGCCAGAGTCAGGACATCGTTTTTGGGTCTTCTGTGCCTGGCGCAGCGGCGCAAGAGAGAACCCCCAACGAGTACAGGGTGGTTTAGGTTTAGGGTTTAGGAATATATACCCCTAAGAATGGAGAATCAAACGGAAAAGAACATGGACAGTTAAATGGAAACTGGGGTTACAATCACCATATAATCCATATATAACCCTATATTAAAACCCTGTAGTTTCCATTCTGTTTTCCATTATCCCTATACACATATACCTTAGAAGGACCCCCCACTCTGTAATAGTGGTATAATGAGAATATAAGAGGACCCTAATATGATCCCTATTATCCCTTATAGTCACTATTACTGGGTGGGGGGTCCACCAAATATATACCCCTATATGTTACTACAAGGATGCCTTCTTCCGCGATATCTCTGACGTCAACTTCATCTGGTCAATCGGGAAGTGAGAGGGCGAGGAGGCGAGCTGCTGCGTAGCCTGGCTACCAGAACTCCAAAAGCCCAATTGATAGGATTTAGGGTTAGGGTTTAGGGTTAAGGGTTTAGGATTTAGGGTTTAGGGTTTAGAGATAGGGCCCCCTATATAAGCCTATATAATATAGTAGTTGCCACTTTATTTTCCATTATCCCAACATAACCCCAATACATCCACTATGTAACCAAAAGCCTTGTTAGTATATTGATTGGGGTTATATAGGGATAATGGAAAGGAACGTGAAAACTACTATAGTAAATTTTGGGGGTACATAGGGATGATGGAGAAGAATTTGGAAACTACTATTTTATGATAAGGTATATATAGGGATATAATAGGGGTACTACCTTGGGAAGCTCGAGCATGTTATTCTGCCTTCCGGAACAGCGCTCAGACAGCGCTCAGTAGCTTTCTGCTTCTGTCCCCAAGGCAGTTCATGGCAATGGAGGTTAGCTTCCTGGCTGCACTTATGCGCTTTTGAGTTTCAAGCGCCGATGCTGATGGAGTTGCGGTGCTGTATGTTTGTAAGAGGTTTGGACAGAGCAGCGCCGGCCTTCAGTATACACAGCTTCCGCTCACTGGGCATGAAACCCTCCAACTTAAACTTAGGTGAGGGAACCTGGCTCTGTGAAATTGCCATCTGGACACAGTGGTGGCATCGGGGACAACTTTCCGCGCAAGGTGCCTGCCCATAGTTATAGTGATGCTATGGTGAAATGAGGTGAAGTTGCTACGATGTATTTGTTGCTGTGGATGCCGAAGATGGCTTATTCAATTCCTTTCATAGTCTCTTGCCTCTCTTCGACTTACTCAGCCGCGACTCTGAAACCATTTCTGCCTTTGCTGCTGTGTTGTTTGTCTCCTTTTGCCTGTCTTTCCTCCTCCTCATCCGCCTCCCCCGCCTCCGGATTCCAGTCCACCTGTCTGGCCATGCGTCATAGAGGGAGACAAGCAAATTGGCTGCACGTCCGGGTCCAATCACCTATTAGAGCGTGGACAAACCGTAGGATGCAGGAATGGCGTGTGCATGCAAATGCAACCAGATCCTTCAGTGAATTTCTTTCGAGTCCTACTGCTGGTTCCAAACCAGCCAGCACTAGATATGTATGTGAAGAGAAGCCGGGCAGCGCCATGCGATGGGCTGTTACACAGCCGCTGTGACCTTCAGGAGTCCTCAGGAGGCCTTCTTATTCCCATTGCCGACGAAAGTCCTGTGCTGCAGTATTCTCGCAGTCTGTGATTTGCATAGAGCCCGAGCGCTCAGCACAGAGACTTTACGGGGAACGGGGCTCCAGGCTAGGAGGATGGCAGAGGTTGCAAGAATCGCACACACGATGTAGCTGGCCCACGGCGCGTATTCTGCGGTGGGTTTTCAAGCACTTTCGCTCTTCCGCCTATGTGCGCCGCAAGTTCGGCTGTCCATCGCGTCCATGCATCCATGCCGAAAACATCCGAAAACATCGTTTCGCTCGTGTTCCAAGAGCATACGATCACCAGAACATCTATGGCCAAAACATAATTACGTTCGTGTTCCAAGAGCATATGCTCATCCAAGCATCCATGCCCAAACCATGATTCCGAACATCTTTTAGTGAATGCGCGTACCAGACCATCCACGCCCAAACCAAAATTTTGTTCATATTGTAATGGGTGCGCTTACCAGAGCATCCATGCCAAAAACCATACTTCCGTTCATCTTTTGATGAATGCGCTTACCAGAGATTCCATGCCCAAACCATAATCCCGTTCGTGTTCCAATAGCATACAGTCACCGCAGCATCCATGCCCAAACCATAATCCCGTTCATCTTTCATTGAATGCGCTTACCAGAGCATCCATGCCCAAACCATAAGCCCGCTCGTGTTCCAAGATCATACGGTCGCAAGAGCATCCATGCCCAAACCATAATTTTGTTCATCTTGTAATGAATGCGATTCCCAGACTATCCACGCCCAAACCATAATTTTGTTCATATTCTAATGGGTGCGCTTACCAGAGCATCCATGCTCAAACCATAATCCCGTTCACGTTCCAAGAGCATATGAGCGACGTTTTTTTTGCGCTTGTCTACCGATACTTAATACGGAAATAACTCCTGGGATCTCTCGGGATGGTTTCCGACATGCGCTTCTCGCTGTGTGCGCGGAAGCATTCGGAAGGTTTTGCGGAAGCATGATGCTCGCGCAAGCTCTTGCGGAAGCTCCTGGCGTCCCTACGTAAGCCTTGAAACGCTGTTCGCGGAAGCATTGCGGAAGCACCTGCCAAGAAATCCTTGCGGAAGGGTCTGTGGAAGCAAG